TTGTGACACCAGATCTAATTAGTGGCACTGGTCAGCGTATCCACTGTTAGCGCAACACACCCGCTTTAAGGACACTGACTGCTATTCAATCTATAACAGTGAAAAAAGTGTTTTGTTTTTTTAAATCCAAGCTTTGTGTCACCAGATCTAATTGGTGGCACTGGTCAGCGTATCCACTGTTAGCGTAACACACCCGCTTTAAGGACACCAACTGCTATTCAATCTATAACAGTGAAAAAAGAGTTTTGTTTTTTTAAATCCAAGCTATTGTGACACCAGATCTAATTAGTGGCACTGGTCAGCGTATCCACTGTTAGCGTAACACACCCGCTTTAAGGACACTGACCGCTATTCAATCTATAACAGTGAAAAAAGTGTTTTGTTTTTTTAAATCCAAGCTTTGTGTCACCAGATCTAATTGGTGGCACTGGTCAGCGTATTCACTGTTAGCGTAACACACCCGCTTTAAGGACACTGACTGCTATTCAATCTATAACAGAGAAAAAAGTGTTTCGTTTTTAAATCCAAGTTTGTGTCACCAGATCTAAGTGGTGGCACTGGTCACCGTATCCACTGTTAGCGTAACACACCCGCTTTAAGGACACTGACTGCTATTCAATCTATAACAGTGAAAAAGTGTTTGTTTTTTTTAAATCCAAGCTTTGTGTCACCAGATCTAAGTGGTGGCACTGGTCACCGTATCCACTGTTAGCGTAACACACCCGCTTTAAGGACACTGACTGCTATTCAATCTATAACAGTGAAAAAGTGTTTTGTTTTTAAATCCAAGCTTTGTGTCACCAGATTTAATTGGTGGCACTGGTCACCGTATCCACTGTTAGCGTAACACACCCGCTTTAAGGACACTGACTGCTATTCAATCTATAACAGTGAAAAAAGTGTTTTGTTTTTTTAAATCCAAGCTATTGTGACACCAGATCTAATTAGTGGCACTGGTCACCGTATCCACTGTTAGCGTAACACACCCGCTTTAAGGACACTGACTGCTATTCAATCTATAACAGTGAAAAAAGTGTTTTGTTTTTAAATCCAAGCTTTGTGTCACCAGATCTAATTGGTGGCACTGGTCACCGTATCCACTGTTAGCGTAACACACCTGCTTGAAGATAACTAACTGCTATTCAATCTATAACAGTGAAAAAAGTTTTTTGTTTTTAAATCCAAGCTTTGTGTCACCAGATCTAAGTGGTGGCACTGGTCACCGTATCCACTGTTAGCGTAACACACCCGCTTTAAGGACACTGACTGCTATTCAATCTATAACAGTGAAAAAGTGTTTTTTGTTTTTAAATCCAAGCTATTGTGACACCAGATCTAAGTGGTGGCACTGACTGGGGAAATGGGCACAGTATGCACTGTGAGCTAACACAGAAGCTTAGCAGTGGCAGACAACTGACTGCTATTCAATCTATAACAGTGAAAAAAGTGTTTTTTGTTTTTAAATCCAAGCTATTGTGACACCAAATGTAATTGGTGGCACTGACTGGGGAAATGGGCACAGTATGCACTGTGAGCCTGACACAGAAGCTGGCAGCAGTGGCAGACAACTGACTGCTATTCAATCTATAACAGTGAAAAAAGTTTTTTGTTTTTAAATCCAAGCTATTGTGACACCAGATGTAATTGGTGGCACTGACTGGGGAAATGGGCACTGTGAGCCTGACACAGAAGCTGGCAGCAGTGGCAGACAACTAAGTGCATTTATATTACATAGAAAAAAAAAATCCAAAAAAAGCATACCCTTATCCCTAACCTAGCTATGCTTTTCCCTATCTTATGAACAGCAGCTACACTTTCCCTCCTCTTACTAAGCATGCAGCTTGAGAATGAATCTAAAATGGATGCCGTCCAGTAGGTGGGAGGGTCTGCTAGGGAGGCTGTGCTGCTAATTGGCTGGAATGTGTCTGCTGACTGTGAGGTACAGGGTCAAAGTTTACTCAATGATGACGAATAGGGGGCGGGTCGAACCGCGCATATGTTCGCCCACCGTGGCGAACGCAAACATGCTATGTTCGCCAGGAACCGTTCGCTGGCGAACCGTTCGGTACATCACTATTGGTGAGACTGATATTTGAAATGTTGTCTCTCTGGATTTTCATAGAATTTTTGTTCACGGTAAGTATTGGTTTTCGTAAAATTACTTTTTTGTACAGGGTGTTGAGAGGTATATTTCTTATTTAAGTGGTAGGTTCTGACTTGCTTGTTGGAGTAATCTGTTTTATCTCTAATATATTTTTTGATTTTAATATGTTTTGTTTCGATTTCGACCTTTTCGATTTTACTTTGGATTAAAATAGAATTTTGTTTATATGCCTGTGTTTCTGTAAATGGCAACAGTTTGTCTCGAATATCATTGATTTCTACATCTAAAACTGACAATTTTTTGTTTTTTTTATTATCAGAGTTTCCATGAGACCTAAAGTGCAGAGTTCCAACTTATTATTCCACTCCTCCATAAATTCCAAGTCATCTTGGTCTGAGGTGGGCAATTTAAGTAATCGCCGATTACTGACGCCGATTTTCCTGCCCACTGGCGTCGGCCGCTCTTCCTCTTATGACGCCGGCGGCTGCGCAGTGCCTGCCGGCGTCACACTACATATCCCATCACCCCCCTCGGTTATGATGCCAGTCATGTGACCGTGCATCACACAATATATTTTATAAACAATAACCGTTCGTTTTTAATTTTTAATTGTATTTTTGGAATAGTTATTCTTATCTTCACATATAGGTACTCCACTCATATTGTTTTAATTCTGTTTTACTAAATGTATTTTTTATCTGTAATCTGATTGGCTGTCCAAATTTTGGCACCAATTTTCGAATTGTCTGTTCATGTTATTTAAATGATCCACTGCCAGGTATCAGGTTCTTTACCCATATTGATAACGCCGATTGGCGAAACGCGTTTATGGTTTTTTATATTGTGTAATGTTATAATTAAAGTATATTTGGTAATCTTTTATTGTACCACTTATCTTTTAATACACATATATTTATTATTATTACCTGGCATTATTCGCTGGACTCCAAGCAATCCTAGGTGGGGATTATTCCACCAACGCGAAATATCAGGAGCAGTTGACCTGCTCCTGTCTTGTGAGTATCCACTTTTATTTTATATTTTATTCTAAGTTTTATGCAGAGAACACTATTGGTTGTCTCTTTTTATTTGAGTATCTCCTATACTACGGAAGGAGGAAGCACGTGAAGGATAATCATTCCATATCCCATAAGCGGGGATCTAAACCGCTGTACGCCCCCTATACCAGAGCAGGTTCTAGCTCTTGGAAATGTGAGTTTGCAATTAAGTTTTATACTTTAATTTCCTTTTCTTCAAGACATACTACACCATTTTGGTTCTGTATTTGTTTTTATCTCTTGCATATGAGACGGCTCATAAGGAAGATAGAAAGCAAAATTATTGTTTCGGACTAAGCACTACGGACATTGCCAGATAAGACCTTCTCTTTTTATCCATTGATTTCACCTGGACTTTTAATATTTTTTAAAGTTTTATCTAAGCGCAGCCCTTTCCTTGTATTCTTAGATATCCCAGGGAGATGTTTTTCTATAGTTTTTTTACACTTTGTTTGCTAAACAGTTGTTCCATCTTGAACTGAAATTCAAATAGTTTTTTGACTAATAACCAAAAATATTATTTTCATTTTTCTAGTGTCTTGAAATCATTAGTTTAGTGGGCAAAAATACATGTATTATGATCAGTTTGTTCACAAGGAAGATAGGGGGGCAATTAAAGTGAAGTAAGGCCACTGGTGCTTTCTTTATTTTATAATTTAGAATTGTAAAGATGTACTGATAAGTTTTATCTCATAAATCTTTAATCCTAACACATTACCACCATACATGTAGATATGTGCCTGTTGTTGTTTGCATCTCAAACAAAGAGAATCTTCATTTGGGAACATTTTGTTCATTCTCTCTGGAATTAAGTGCCACCTATTAAGTACTTTAACATAAGATTCTACTAAGTTTGGGAAGGGGAGGAGTGATGACTTGACGTACACGTAAGCCACGTCTCCCGGGAGAAGAAAGCCACCACCAAAGGCATTTGTTTGATCGTGTGGTGATAGAGTTTGTGGGGAAATTGTATGGCAGCTTGGAACAGACTACTGACCGACAATTTACCACCCTTGCCAATGGTCCTGGAGACGTCGAGATTGGTATGAAAAGAAGCCAGCAGCAACAAAGGCAGTTCTCTCAAA